TAAACAGTAAATTACCTTGAGGGATGCTGGTTCTGTTGAGAGTACCTCCAAAGAAGCATTTGAACTTCTGCTCCCAGGGCGTATTCTTGAATTTGAAGCTGGTTTTGAAATTCCATCTAGGTTTCCCTTTATAATATCCATTGAAATCCTGGGACAACAAATAAAATATTTAATACCAAGCGACTTGGATATTTAAATCTTTCATTAGTTAGTGTTAATATCCAATTACTCAGAGGCTTTGTTTTAAAGATTATGTTGTTACTGAAGTCACACTTAAGGGTTCCCCAGCTTCACCGAAAGATATCTTGTGTACACGGATTGTTAAATCTTATGCCACAGTGTACATAAAATATACTGCCCAGGATGTTAGATACTGAATATGGCTAAAAGAGAATGCAGAAGTGAATGCCATCTCAGTTGCTTCCTGGGCCTCCAGGAAAAAACACTTCCTGTGTCCCTGGTCTTCCCCGAGGGAACATTCAGGGGCACCACTGTCTCTCAAGCAAGATCCACTTCATCTTAGTGATTGCTAAGTCCCTCCTGCTACTTTATTTTTTGAAAATGAGTCTCACTCTGTCACTCAGGCTGGAATGCAGTGGCGCGATCTTGGCTCCCCGCAACCTCTGCCTCCCAGGTTCAAGCAATTATCCCTACCTCAGCCTCCCAAGTAGCTGGGATTATAGGAGCCCGCCACCACACCTGGCTAATTTGTGTGTGTGTGTGTGTGTGTGTGTGTGTGTGTGTGTGTGTGTGTGTTTTTAAGTAGAGACGGGGTTTCGCCATGTTGGCGTCAAACTCCTGACCTCATCTGATCTGCCCGCCTCGGCCTCCCAAAGTGCCCTTGCTACTTTCTTTCGGTTTTGCCTTCTTTTTTTGTAGCCTTGCCCACTCTAGCTCAGCCTTCTTCCCTCTCAGCTCTGATTTCTTCTCTCCCCTGTGGTGCTGCATTTTCATGGAGTACCTAAGCACTGCTCTCATTTTATCAACCCTCCCCTTCTAAAACCCATAATTCTATTTCTACCCTCTGAAGCAAGAGAACAAAATCTACTTCCCTCATTAGAGGACAGATTTTCATTATCTGGCTACACATTACCAATCTATTTAACTATGTTTCATGTGATATTATCCACAGGCCTCTCACCACCCTGGCTGTTCTATATCTAGTGCTATTTCCGGAAGCAGGAAATACCAGGCGGGGTGGCATAAGCTAGAGACACAGTGAGCGATGCTACACAGTGAGCGATGCTGCACATTGATCCTTCCAAACCGTGTGGCCTACCAAGCCCATTCCAGCTCTGTCCTGTGACACTGGGGCAACACACATGCTGAGTCAAATGGGAAAAGAGAAAGAATTCCAGCTTTTGCCCTCTCATACTCGGCTTTGCGTGTGAATGGGTGCCTTCCAACAAATCCTTTCCTAAATTCCTACCAATAACAGAATAAATTCAACCATAACAGAATGAAAAAGGCAATTGCTTCTACCCAACAATGTCCCTTTCTTATCCTACGAAATGACTCATCTTTCTTTTGCTTGTTGAACAGCAGAGGCAGGGTCCAAAGAAGCTGTGGACACAGGAGAAAGCACAAATACAAACAACCTGAGGCTTCACCTAGGTACACAGAGCGATGTTATGGCTTGGCTTCCAACCATTCAATGTGCCAAAGCTTATGCTTAAGAGACCAGGAGGTCAGCTCTTCCCATCTCAGCAAATGAAAAAGGCATTGATCTCAACATTATTCAAACTCTGCAAAAGGGTTTGGGCTCACTCAGGAAAGCACTGACATTATTATTGTGGGATGATGAATCACCCTGGCCCCTCACATCACAACCAAAAAGCATAAGTCACCAAAAGGCCAAATGTCTTGTAAACGCCCTAAGCAGCCTGTCAAGGGAGAGTTATTGCAGCTTGCAGAGGGAGCAATGAGATGCAAGCATGCGCAGAGCCGCATAATACATGTCAATAAAGTCAGAGGCACAAGGAACCAACAATGACCTGGATCAGCTAAAGGGCTCCACAAATCTTTCATTCTGCTTTAGAAATAGGTCTGTTCTATTAGGTTCACTCCTGAAAATAATAAATTAAATAAAATGCAGTTCCTGAGGTAGGTGGGGATGCAATAACAAACTATCTTATGAATTTGGCCATCTAGAAAAAGGTATGGATAAAGGGTATTAAAATTGGATCTTACAGATGTATTTAAGCATTTGGAAAGAAATTGTAACTGCCACATAGAAATTCCAGAAGAAAAATAAAGCACTGTACAAGAAAAAAAGCAATCAAACAATATGTAAATAGTTATAATTATGTAAGCATTGAATGTTGACTTAACCAAATATTATGCCTTAATTATACTGAGCGTACGCAAGAAGGAGTGCACAAAAGGAAGCGAGTAGTAACAGAAATGTAATCTGTTATCATAGGAAATCAAAGAGACTGTCCAGAAATTGATAAAGCCAAACAATAGTTAAATATAATACTTTAATGAAAGTAAAAACTAATTTTATAAGTAATAAAAAATATGAAATCTCCAACAGACTGGAAGGAACATAAATTTGTAACCATAAACATAAAGATAAATTTCATAATCATGGAATTAATGACTTAGTAAGCATGATACTAAGAGCATAAATCAAAAAGGAAAAGACTAACAGATGTGGCTACATAATAATTAATGCTCTTGAGTCTCAAACATGAAAAAGAACTCTTAAGTGAAATTAAAAGGAACCTGAGAAACTAGGGAAAATAAATGCAACATAGATGACATACAAAAGGTTAATATATTCACATATTTATAGAGCTCTTACCAATCAGTAAGAAAAAAAAGTTCTAATAGAAAACTGGGTAAAGATTTTAAAATGAAATGCACATATCAAAAAAATAGAGAAAGAAAGACATACAAACTGTCGACAATTCCACTTTAAAAAGTCCAATTTCTCTAATTAAAGGAATATACACAAGGGGACCTGAAAGATGATGACACATCAAGGAAGTAAGAGTAGTGGGTTCTGGATTGGTGGGTTCCTGGATATTCTTGTACCCTTGCCTATCTTATTTTCTGTTTTGCTATTAACTATATCTTGTATTTATAACTAAATAATTCATTTATTATAGAAAGATCTCTAGAAAGTACTAAAAGGTATTTGAAAATAAATTAAAAATCACCCAACATCCCACCACCCTGAGCTAAACACTATTGGTACATCTCTTTCCCATTTTTACTCTACGTGTTTTTCAACAAAATTGGACTAACGTGTTTCTCGCCACTACATAATGAGCATTTTTTTATAACATTAAGACACTTCAAAATAGAATCGTATTTACTTCATGGTACTTGATTGAATAGACAGATTAGATATATGACCAGATCCTAAATTGTAACAAGTGCCAACTTTTTGTAATATTCATTCTAAACAAGATTAAAGTTTTTCATATAGGTTTGTAAGAAATGCAATCAACATAGATGAATTAAAGACAACATGGAGACATATGGCTGCTATAATTTGGTATTTTGAGATGAATAAAAGAATTAAAAGAAAATGAATCCTCCTCTGTTGAGTCATTATGAATAGCAAGCCTTTAAAGAGTGGGACTAATTTATTTTCATTATTTTTATGTCTAAAAATTATTTATGTATGGTCAATTTTTTTCCTTTATATATTTGTGTATTCTGTAAGGAATACTTGCCCATGCAGAAAAAAATCAAATACAACAGGTGAACATAAAAAATGTTTTAAGTCAAAATTCGGCTTACCCCAAGAATTAGTGTTAATAGAGACTTGCAAGTCTCACTTTTAGGCATATGCAAACCTTCTATCCTTTATACCTATCGACTCCTCCCCAATGCAAACACACACAAATGGCATGGTGCTTTGCAATTTGCTTCTTTACAATTAACAATCTATTTCATATATTTTTCTATATCACCATTTACAGATATACGTCATGCTTTCAAACAACAGCATAATACCCCATAGATGTAGCACTTTTTTAATCAGTTCACTTAAGTGGTATATAGAATATTTGCTATTAAAAGCAATTCTAAAACTGGCTCAAGATGTATCACAGACCTAAAGTAAAACTTAACACTACAAAATTTTCTTTTTGTCATTGTTGTTGTTACTATATTTGTAGTAAAGACGGGGTTTCACCATGTTGGCCAGGCTGGCCTTGAACCCCTGACCTTAAGTGATCTGCCTGCCTCAGCCTCTCAAAGTGCTGGGATTATAGGGGTGAGCCACCAGGCCTGGCCAAAACTATAAAATTTCTAAAAAATACATGTGACTGTGGGTTAGGCAAAAATTTCTTAGATACAACATCAAAGGCATGATTCATAAAAGAAAATATTGATAAATTGGAAGGCATCAAAATGTAAAACTTGTACTCTTCAAAAGATGTTAGGACAAGGAAAACAAAACCCAAAGACTAGGAGCAAATATTTGCAAAACACGTATCTGACAAAGGACGCATATCATGAAAATATAAACAAGTATCAAGACTCACCAGAAAACAAAGGATTTGGACACACACATCACCCAAGATGATGTATGGATGTCAAAAGAGCACATGAAAAGATGTTCATTATTACTCCTCAAAAAAATGAAATAAAAATCACAACGAGATACCACTACACACCTATTTAAATGACAAAAATTAATGTTTTAGAAAACTGACAATACCAAGTGCTGACAAAGTTGGAGGCAACTGTAACACTCACACTGCCAGTGACAATGCAAAATCATCACTTTTCAAAACTGCTTGGCAGTTTCTTACAGTTAAACATATACTTACCATATTACTCCACAATCTCATTCACATTTACCCAGGAAATGAAAACATATTCACACACACGCACACAAAAAAAAAACTATACATGAATATTTATACCAGTTTCATTAATAATATCCAACAACTGGAAAGAACCCATCTGAAAGTGCCTCAAGTAGGAAATGGATAAACATACGTAGGAAATGGATAAATATAGGACTGTACATCCATACAATGGACGATTGTGTCCAGAATTGGTTCAATCCGGTGGGTTCTTGGTCTCGCTGACTTCAAGAATGAAGCCACGCACCCTGGCAGTGAGTGTTACAGTTCTTAAAGATGTGTATCCGGAGTTTGTTCCTTCAGCTGTTCAGATGCGTCCTGAGTTTCTTCCTCCCGGTGGGTTCGTGGTCTCACTGGCTTCAGGAGTGAAGCTGCAGACCTTCGTGGTGAGTGTTACAGCTCATAAAAGTAGTGCAGACCCAAAGAGTGAGCAGCCACAAAATTTACTGCAAAGAGTGAAAGAACAAACCTTCCACACAGTGAAAGAGGACCCCAGTACGTTGCCGCTGCTGGCTCCGGTGGCCAGCTTTTATTCCCTTATTTGGCCCCACCCATATCCTGCTGATTAGTCCATTTTACAGAGAGCTGATTAGGTCATTTTACAGAGAGCTGATTGGTCCGTTTTTACAGAGTGCTGATTGATGCGTTTACAAACCTTTAGCTAGACATAGAGTGCTGATTGGTGCATTTTTACAGAGCGCTGATTGGTGCATTTACAATCCTTTAGCTAGACACAGAGCACTGATTGGTGTGTTTACAATCCTTTAGCTAGACAGAAAAGTTCTCCAAGTCCCCACCCAACCCAGCCGGCTTCACCTCTCACTATTACTCGGCAACATAAAGGAACAAACAACAGATACACAGAACATGAATGAATAGCAACTGCATGATGCTAAGCTGAAAGAAACCTGATTCAAAAGGCCACAGGGTGTTTGCTTCCATCGATATGACATTCTGGAATGGGCAAAATTACAGGAACAGAAAACTAAGTGGTTGCCAGCGATAGGGTTAGGGGAGGGGTTAACTACAAAGAGCACTAGGGAATTTGGGGTTCATGACGAAACTTCCATATTCTGATTGTGGTGGCTGGTAATTACATAACTGTATGCATTTGTCAAAACTCATAGAACTTTAGATTAAATGGGTGAGGTTTACCATAAGTTATACCTCAATTTTAAGTTAATATCTTTGTGCCAATATTTCTTTAGCTATGGTCATACATCCATAAAATAAATCAGAATTGCTGAGTCAAGGAACACTTATGTTTCAAATTTTGGTAGTTCGCCAAATTGTACTCCAAAAAGGCTGCACCAAATTACACTACTTCCCCAACAGTGGACTGGGGCCCATCTGGTTATGTCAAAGCTGTTTCATCTTCTCCAGTCTGATAGGTGTAAAAGGTATCTGTGAATTTGGTTTACATTTCTTCACGAAAAAAGCTGAGTCTCTAATCAATTGTTTGCTGTTTGCATCTTTTTATTTTTCCTGTGAAATGCCTATTTGCACCCTTTGCCGTTTACGGTCTAGTTTAAATGGCTGGTGATCAGTTATAGGTCTTGGTGGGAAGATCTGGAAATCGGGAAAGTGGAAGCCTTGGTTACAGGTCCTAATGTTAGGAGAAACAGCCTCCGCGGAGGCAGAAGCCCTTGGGGCCCCGCCCCCAATAAGCACGCCCCTGCCCTCTCATTGGCCCTGTCCGCTTTCACTGACAGTCCATCTACGAGCCGAGCGGCCCGATGCAACTCCACCCCGCCCACTCCTCGGCGCACCGCACCGCGACCGAGCTCCGCCCTCATCTGCGCGGCCCCTCACCTTCCCGCCGGGCCTCCTCGAGGAACTGGCCGCCGGCAGTCAGAGCGTAGACGGCCGCAGAAGCGCGCCGCCGACACTCGCCGAGCCAGCCAGTTCCCCACAGAGAAGAGGGATCTCTCCCGCCACCTCAGCCTCTCTGGTGGTGGAAGAAGCCGCCAGTTCAAAGCCCTCCTGCCTGTAGCACAGCTGTTTCTCTGGCAACCAGATGCGCGACGCTTCCGGTCTCGCGATAGGGGAAAGGGCTGTACCATCCGGAAATGGGACGGGGGCCGGCTGCTGCTGGAGGCCCGCGAGCTGGACTGCCCGGCTGTGTCCCTCCGTCTTCGCGGCCGACCGTGGGGGTGGGAAGCGATTTGTTCGTCTTTAGGTTGGATTCCGAACGGGGACGTCTGGATGCTTGTGTATCTCTGTCCCTCAGGTTGCTGTGATGCCTTACAGGTCAGCTATTCTCTCCGAGCAGTTTCCCCCTCCGTAAAATGGGAACAATAATAATTCTCTTCTCACAAGACTTGTGCAGCTCAAAAAGACCATGTATGTGAAGCTCTAGTAAATTTGGGGTGCTATGGAAATTTTTAAAATATTCGTTTTGCACAGATTTGGCTACACTCCAAAAAGTTATAATTGCTTGTTGCACCTTCTTTCATTTCGCAGTTCCTCTAATTCTCAGTGCACGAAAATTATTTCCCTAAGTCCACACACGGATTTTCCTCACCTCCAGTGCCATCAGATTTCTCCTGCTTCCCAGCACGTTACTGTTTACAGAGCATTTTCACATTCATGGCTCCTTTGTCCTCATTGTTTTAACTAGATAAGATGTGGTTTTTTTCAGCGAAGCAAATAGTCACAGGTTGAGTTGCCAAAAGAACACAGCTGCGGTCTCGGCCAGTGCTGGATATTAAAAACCTGGCTGTAAATGTCATCCCTATGCTCCTGAATCCTGCATCTTATCACCAGCCCAGACTTCCCTGAACTCCAGACTCCTTTACCTAACTGCCTATTTGACCTATCCACTTAGATGTGTAAACATCTCAAACTTAACAACTTCTCCAGAGTCCCCCACCCACTCTATCCGTCTCAGCAAATGGTAATTTCATCCTGTCATGCCTAAACCAAAAACCTTGGAGTTGTCCTCAATTCCTCTTCCTCTCACACTTCACAATCCATTCGTCCTATCAGCCCAGCATTCAGAATATATCCAGAATCCAAACACTCGTCACAAGTTCAGTGCTTCCATTCAGGTCCATAGAGACATCATCTCTAAATGATAAGGCTTTCTGTTGGCTCTCTGACCTCCACTCCTACCTACTGCTTCCCCCGGTAAACCTGGTTCCAGCCTCACTGTCCTCATTGTTAGTGTTTCTGTGCAGGGATTTCTTCCCAGCATTTCTCCGGGAATTTATGTGGCTTTCCAAATCTCAAAAGAAAAAAAGGTGCAAAATGAAGAAAATAGGAGAAAGTATCCTAATTCTCCTGTGAGAATTCAAACTTAGCAGCCAACCTAGGGATGTTACTGAAGAAATTCACCAATGTCAAGTTGAAAACCAGCCCAGGAAATGCCGAGTTCGAGGCTGAGGTCGTCATTTTCAGGAACCAGGACAAGAGCACTTGGGAGAGACATGGCTACAGTCTCATCAGTCAGTCTTGCTTGTAGTTGGTGCTATGTAAGTATATGTTCCTGGCCCTGTGTGCTGCTGGCAGTGAGTCATTCTTGCAAATAAAATATAAATAGGTTGATACTCATTGTATACTTTATACAAATTCTATGAGCAGTGTTCAAAAAAGTAACAAGTTTTGGATTCAAAGTAAATCCTTAAATTGGCAGTTTCCAATCCATGAGTCTGGGTAGTACAGTTAACCCTGCTAGGAGATCTATTATTTGAATACTACTCAGTAATGTTCTCTGTGTTCTCCAGTATTTGAATATTTGCTATAAACTCCAGTTCTTGTAAACACTTCTAGATTTAATAGTTCTCATTTTTTAAACAAAGGCTTCAGATACTCATAATAATGAGTAAAGAATATGAAGAAGGTAGGGAATATTTTGAGAATCAGATTTTGAGAACAGCTGGTAATTCTGATTGCCTGTTTCTGCATCCCACAGAGCAGTATCTGTCAGGAATTTGGTAACACTTGTTCCTCCAATCCAAATAACCACACACATACACCTACACACACGCCAGCCTGAAATACAGTTTCCCAGCTATCCACGTGGTTTGCTCCTCTCTTTGCACAGGCATCTGCTTCCTCAGGAAGGGCTTTCCCAACCACCCTATATAAAATAATTATCCCCATCTCCACACTCCCTACGCTCTGTCCCCTCGACCCTGCTTTATTTTTTTACGAAGAAGAGAGACGACATTATTTGGATTTTGATACTAAACAGTTAGGTCATCTTAGGTAAATACATAAGCTTTTGTGGGCCAGCGTTTCTTCGTTTGAAAAATGAAGTTGGACTAGTTATGTAGTGCTTAACTGCACTGCACATTACAATCACCTGGGGAGATTTCATCAAATATAGAACCAGGGATGTACCTGAGATCAAATGAATCTAGGACTTCTCAACTTTAATGTGCAGACAAATCACCGAGGAATCTTGTTTAAAATGCTGCTTCAAAAAAAAAAAAAAAAAAAAATGCTGATTCAGTATCAGGTGAGACCAGAGACTAACAGGCTCCTAAATGATGCCAGTGCTCCGAGCCCACCAACCACTGTTTACTGAGGGGCAAGATGAGATCATTGCCAAGTGCCTGCACAATTCTCATACGCCATAAACTTAGGCCATTCTGTCCGGTTTTTCATTTGGTGACTAATAGTGTCCACTAAGAAAACAATACCTTCCCAATTTCTTGCGGAGGGGAAGGTTAACTGAGAAAAAGCATACCTGTGATTAGTGCACATGATTACTGCTGTTTTCTTTTTTTAACTGTTGCTTTTAAAATACAGGCAACAGAAGATGCATATAAAGCCAGTGAAAATAAAATTCAGGTTCCATGTAAACTTGCATCTCTTCGCGGTTTGTAACCTTTCCAGACTAAGTCCCTATCGACTATATTTTGCATAAAACTGTTTATCTCATTTTGAATTGTTTTCTGTCTCTGTGTCACTCTCACGTTGTTTGTTTACCTCCTGATGCTTCCGTTTTGTAAACCGCTGAGAGGCTGTATGTGCCTTAAGGGCCAGCTTTAATAAATTGCATTTGTTGTGTATTTGCTTTTAATTTCCCCAAATACTTCGGCGTCAGCTATTGCAGGTGATACCCTGAAAACAACATTCGGATATAAGTCCGCGAGCACCACATGTCTATACTGTGTTTTCTGCAGTTCCATTTTCAAAAATCGCAAACACATCCTGGAAACTGTTGTGCCTTTCAAAGTCATTCATAAAAATTTTTTCTAGAGTCACGATATTTTAAGCTAAAATTTCCCTGGTCTCATTCCAGGTTGGTGACAGATGGCAGTGGCAGTGTTAGTTTCGGAGTTAGCTTTTGTTTTTGTTCGCAGTCTCTCCCTACTCTTGACATCCTCCTTCTGAGTGGAGTCAGATTTGAATGAATGAAAGCAAGCAAGAGCATTGTTTGCCATCTGGGCACCAGCTACCTTCAGCCTTGTTGCCCCAGTTTCCCTTTTCTCACCATCAACTTCAACCAAATGTAACAATGTGGTAGGAGAGGGATCTCATTAAGCCTCATATCGTAGATGCTACACACTGGATTTTGTGTAGAATAGCCATTTCTACTGGAGAGCAGATAATAGTGTTTGCCACTGGACAGTTCCCATCTCCTGTGAATCTATGCTTAGTGTTATTAAAAAATTACATTTACAAAGTGTTTCAGACTTGCCTTCGAAGCATCATTTCACTTCATTCATACCATTCTGAGTCGGCACTAGTATTACCTGGATTTAGAGTTGAGAAGCAGAGCACCTAAAGGGTAATTGTCCCAAGGTCATTGGGAAACTAACTGGCACTGGGATTCCAACCTAGGTTCCAAAACCTGCCCTCTTGATCTCCTCATGGGTCTGAATTCAAGAAGAGGAGATATTTGTGTCCACTAGATGGTGCTGATTGTCCTCTTTAAAAAAAAAAAAAAAATCGGTAGCCACTTTCAGAAACAAGTTCATTTGGATTTTAGGTGTAATTCAAGAAACCACTGAACTGAAGTATCTTGTATGTTTGAACTGTGCTTGGATGCGTCTTTAAATAGCCACCCAAATAGGAAAAGTGAAAATTTGATCTAAAAAAAAATGCATTTTTTAAAATGTTAGTACATATAAATAATATCTAAAAACCATGGTGACTTTGAGATACTGAAAGTTCTCACACATCTGTATTTACATTCAATCAGTAGACTTAAAAAGAGGTACATGTTTTATTGCATTTACCCCTTTTATACCAACTGTACTCTCTCCAGCACTTCCCAATCCTGCTTGGGCACAGTGCCATCCATGCCAGCAAGAGTCATGAACAGGGAAGTAAATAAACCCTGAAAAAGCAACAATCAGGTTCCGGAACAGGTAACCCTTTTTTTTTTTTTTTTCTTTGAGATAAGGTCACAGTCTGTCGCCCAGGCTGGAGTGCAGTAGCACAATGATCATGGCTCACTGCAGCCTCAACTTACCAGGCTCAAGCAATCTCCCACCTCAGCCTCCTCAGCCTCCTGAGTAGCTGGGACTACAGGCACGCACCACCACATCCAGATGAATTTTTTTTTTTTTTTTTAAGAGGTGAAGTCTCCCTACGTTGCCCAGGCTTAATGTTATTTTTATTGAAAGTAAAATACATGTTAAGCATATGTTTAGTGTGTGCTTAGTACCTTATTTTAGTACATTTTTTAGAACTTAAAAGCTGTGAAATAAACCCGATTCGAATGGGTTGTCAGACTTTGTTGTTCAGAAGGATCAGTTCAGGTGTGATTTAAAATATTGATTCTAGTTCCTATTACATGATTCAGTGGGTCTGGAACACAGACCAGGAATCTGCATTTTTAACAAGTCCTTTGGTTCTTGTGGTACAGATGAACCCCTGACTTCAAGTTAATGTTTTAGAGGGTAAATACTGGCGAGGACATTGCTCCCGGAGGCACCGTGGAGCCCCCTGCAGCTGTTCTACACGGAGGCTGTAAACAGTGACATCCAGCACTTGCTTTGTAAGCAGCAGGCTAGACACTGAAAAACGCTCTCCCTGTAGAACTCTTTCCCTCCTGTCCCGGTCTGCTGTGGAGTGCTCCGCAGAATTAGCTGCTGGTCAGTGGATGTCTCCATTTCTTAGAAGATTACAATTTCTCAATGCCTATTGGTCCAAAAACATAATGATGACTTTAGGTTTGCTTTCAGTAAAGAAGTTAGGTCACGCATTATCATATAACTCTATTTAACTGGCTCGAGGGATCCACTTGTCAACACAGGGGGCCAAAAACTTCCACGACGTTGTGAAATTGTGTAAAAATCAGTGCGCGCACACACACACGCACACAGCAGTGCAGCTACATGTTTCTGGCCTAGAGGGTTGTTTTTAAAGATAGTAAAGTAAATCAGTGAAAACGAAGATATGTTATAATACACGGAGTCATTTGCAGGGGGAAGGTACCATGTCAACTCGGCCCTAAAGCAATCGGCTCTGCCAAGTGAGTCATTCTCACCAGAAAGGGGAAAAAAATTGGTTTCTCTTCTTTTCTGAGGAAATTCCCTCAAAGTAACAGACTGCTTAACTTTCTCATGATCTTACTGGCTCCAAAGTTTGGTCACCTGCAGCAACTCTGTACCTGCAAAGATTTAAAGAGTTGGCAGACACTTCCCAAGGCCAGCTGCAGTTTCAGTTGCCAGATGCCCACCGAGATTAGTATTCTACTCCTGACATCTCGCCCCTGTCAGCTGAGTGGATGTGACACTGCTTGCGGATAATGGCTGAAATTTCACTGCAACTATCAATCCTGGGCTGAAACCAACAGTATCTGAACATTGCCCATGCATTGGGTTTCATGCTTCATGTTTTCAACCTACCGGTAAGCTTGTCTCTCTGAGTCTAAAACCTAACTTCAGTATTGAGCTTGGTCTCTCTGATCCCACAGGGGTTTGTTAGTTTGTTGTTTTAAATTGGATCTCCTGATCCATGTACTTGCTTGAGGTGAGCAGGTCTGTGCAAACCTACCCCCAAAGGCCGAGGAAGCTGAGAGGCCAATGAAAGAAGCTGACAAGTCCAGTTTCTCAGAAAGAAACATTCAGCAGGGGGCTTACAGACAGAAGCCGTGTCTCTGGTAGCCAGAGAGACAGTGGATCCCCGCACCTGCCCTCCAGAAAGCATCCTTTATATAGCAAGATTTTAGGGAAAGATGTGCAGCCAGTCATGCCTCAGGCCTTCTTGCAAAACTCATGACCCCTGGGGTGGTTAGATAAGCATCTCTGTGGGGGTTATCTATGCTACAGGAACACACTGGTCATCTTGCTATGCAACAGGCTGTTTTCCTACAATACTAAAACTTCGTATAAGTTATGTAAGCCTTCATTATTACGTAAACCTTTGTACATATTTTAACAAAAAGTAAAGGAAGCTAAAACAATTAAGATACCATATTAGAAACACATTCAAACCAAATATTTAGGGTGTTAAGCAGCAATGTACGGAAATGATTTTTCTCAGAGTTAACATCTCAGAGATGAAGAAATAGGAAGGAAACCACCACAGGGGTTTGTTCATCAGTCAAGGGTCAGGCTGCCACAATGTTTAAGCCTCATCCTGGCATTCTTAGCTTCTCACTTTATTTCTTTTTTTTTTTTTTTTTTTTTTTTTTTTTTTTTTTTTTTTTTTTTTTTATTTTTTTTTTGAGACACAGTCTCGCTCTGTCGCCCAGGCTGGAGTGCAGTGGCCGGATCTCAGCTCACTGCAAGCTCCACCTCCCGGGTTGACGCCATTCTCCTGCCTCAGCCTCCCGAGTAGCTGGGACTACAGGCGCCCGCCACCTCGCCCGGCTAGTTTTTTGTATTTTTTAGTAGAGACGGGGTTTCACCGGGTTAGCCAGGATGGTCTCGATCTCCTGATCTCATGATCTACCCGTCTCGGCCTCCCAAAGTGCTGGAATTACAGGCTTGAGCCACCACACCCGGCCTCACTTTATTTCTTACACAATCTTTTTCTTAGCTCAAATTCAAAGTAATGTTTCCTATCTGAACATACAGTGTTTATTATACTAGGAACTGGTCATCATTTTGATGACTATTGGTTTTCTTGTTGATATTTTTAAAATTTGATCATCCAAATTCCTTTCTTAATAGAAGCTGGCTTATTTTCCCCTCATTTTGCCATAATAGGCAAACTAGAATTTATGTTTTAATTTTGTTGAAAAATTGTTATGTTTTATATTTTTGTAATTCATCACTGACACACATTTTAAAATACCCATCTCTGGATTTTCCTTTTTTTTTTTTTTTCTGAGACAGAGTCTTGCTCTGTTGTTCAGGCTGGAGGGCAGTGGCGCTATCTTGGCTCACTGCAATCTCTGCCTCCCAGGTTCAAGCAATTCTCCTTCCTCAGCCTCCCAAGTAGCTGGGATTACAGGCGCACGCCACCACGCCCGGCTAATTTTTGTATTTTTAGTAGAGATGGGGTTTCACCATGTTGGCCAGGCTGGTCTCGAACTCCTGACCTCAGGTGATCCACTCACCTCGACCTCCCAAAGTGCTGAGATTACAGGTGTGAGCCACCACACCACACCCAGCCACATCTCTGGATTTTCTGTGCTGTCTTTGCCAAGAACAGTGTGGCCTGGGCCCAGTCTCTTAACCTCTTTCCACCTCAGTTTCTTCGTCTACTAAATAAGAGGTCGATAAAGGTTTCTACCACTACTTCCAGCTCTGAGACCCTGTGATCTTCTGATTTAAGCAGTCTCTGCTCTCTTTGGAAAGGACCTGCTCATGTGTCTCAACCTGGACTGAAACAGCATTCATACCAATGTAAAAGCCATCTGCTCAACGTGCATGGCAGCAAGAATTGCTTGTTTAGAAACA